ATGAAAGCGAATAAACTCCCGTACCCGTAGCCTCGAGACATTAAGATACGGCTACCGTACCCGTAGCCACTGCCTAAAACAAATTCATAGGCTAATAAAAACGAGAGAAACGATGTGTCTTTGACTACTTTGACATGACTGCATGACACATGTTAGTGATGTTACATCCTAATACATGATAATAAATTTTTTTTGTTATTTAACATAATTTAACGTTCTATCCAAAAAACAACAACACTTCAAACTAGTGTAATAAAATACAAACTCCTAAACTACGCTAACGAACAAGATTAATGTGAGTAGACTATCGCGGTAAGTATCGCGTGGTATCAGTTGCCGCAGATAGTAACGTTTGGTATCGGAAACTGCAGGCACCCTGAGTTCAGATGTAGGACTAGTAAAGCCCGACTGTTGGTCTAAACCTCTCTGTATTTAGCTTGGGATATGTTGTGTGATTTAGTTTATTATTTGTATATTTTATCATTTATGTTTTGGGTGGATCTTGTCGCAGCTTGAATGAATCTTCGATAAACTTTGAGAGTTCGAGGAGATCGGCCACATGATTTGTGATGAATAACCATTTTATGGATGATTTGCCTAGGAATGTGAAGTGTATAAATTTGTCATCTATTGACCTGTCATTGCATAGGGAACAGAATCTAAGATTAGCAGGGATGGATTGGTGACGGCCTTGTTCAATCCTTAGGTTGTGGTCGCTAAGCCTTAGTTTAGTTAATGCTCTTCTTGCTTGTTTAGAATATAAATTTAATAGGTATGGTTCAGGTTCATATTTTGTTTTAAGTTGTCTATAAAATCTTAGTTTGTTTGACCCTCCTCTTCTTCTGTTGTCATCATTCAGGTCGTTAAAGAACATGGTGGTATATTTTTGTTGCAAGTTTCTCTTTATGTTGAGTATGGTTTCATGTAGTTTTGATTGGAATTGCACTTCCAGATTGTGTTTTTTGACATAAGTTCTAAATAAGTTTGTTGCTATTTTTGATCAATTTGTGAAAGTCTTAGTAGTGCCTTCAGGAATGTCATTGTAGAATTGAATAGATTCCTTCAGGAGGGGGTTTGGACTTGGGAATTTTGCAATGGTACCAGAATTTTGCCACTTGAAGAACTATAATAATATTGTGTAATAAGTGGAACATTCCTAGCTCAGCTTTGGCGGCTATGTTGGAGGTTTTGGTTCTGACTCCCAATACCCATTCAGGGTTCTCCCCAGGATGAAATTCAAACAAGGGGGAGGGGAAGGGGAAGGGGGAGGGGGGGAACTAGGGGGGCGTGTTTTTTTACCGTACCACTAATTAATGCGTAAAATCGCCACCACACCACAGACAGTATTTGGGGTTCTTGTATAAGATATAGCCGAGTCGGTGTACAGTTAGTGTTGGGTGTGGGACAGGTTGACTGTTGTATTGTCTGCAGTGCATGCGTGGTACTGTAAAAATACACGCGCCGGGTATCCTGGTCGAATTGTACTTCTTGACGATCGATTCCCTCGCTGGCAAACTTTTATTGTGGTGGAATTTAATCGGGGCGGAGGTATTTTAAACGGGGCGCAACGATTGAAACAGGGGGGAGTTTTCCCAAACGGGGCGCGCGCGCCCCGTTTGCGCAACGTAGGGAGAACCCTGTCTATATATCGCGTTCTTGTTTACATTCCTTGTTTTCCCTAGACCACCTCCGTATGTATGATCCAAGATGGCTGCGCCCAGGCGTTGATCGTTTTCCTTTGTGCTGTCTATATTTTATTCTGTCTATACTGCGAGTTCAATCTATCCATCCTGATCTATAGGCTACTGCTCATGTGAGTTACACACCCCCGAAATCTCTACACTAGTGATACATTATGACACAATAAATAAGACAGTCAAGCAGGTATGAAGTAGGATGCAGTGTTAGGGTTTAGTTTTAGTGTTAATACCTATGCTAAACAGTTTTGATGATGACGTAGCCGGTTTAGCGATGGAACAGGCTTTCAACCTTTTGCAGTTCAGAAACAAAGGCCAGTACAGTAGAGCAGCAGATCTCAGATGAGCACTGTCTCTCATGCGGCACTTGTTTCATGTACAGGGCTTATAGGTGCATTATAAATAGTAACCGGCCTCAATACCATTTAAAAACGGTAAATATTGACCGATCATAAGATAACTCATAAAAGGCGCGTTTGTTTGGTTGGATCCACGGATCTCGATCCGATGGATTCGTTGATCTGACTGTTTGTTTGGTCGGATCAATGGTCTCGATCCACCGAACCCGACCCTGCTAGCGAGGCGGATTCGAACGGCATCCAATATGGCGGCCCGCGCCTCAGCCAATCACAGCTTGTTCTTTGTTATGAACCATCCCGTGATAGGTCACAGCGAAACGTGAACCAGCGAAAGTGAGTTTTGCGTTTGTTTGGTCGGATCAGGATCCTATGATCTCAATCAGACGGATTTGTCCCAAACAAACCTGCCCAAAGACAGTTACAGTTTTAACCAGTATATCAACATGAATGCATTTCCCGTACCAGTGTATAATGGGCTAGTTCGGGAGCAGGTCAGTACGAGCATTAGTAAATTGTGAGTGTTCCATAATGTGACTGAATGTATGTTGTACTTCCGTAGAAAAAGGCACAATTATGGCAGCTATGAACGGATCGGAGCGGGAGCGAATGGAGGCCGAAATAGACAAGATCAATCAGGCTTTGGAGGAGTCTGGCGAATCCATGGATGAGGATAACAATTACGAGGTGAACAATGAACACGTCGTTGCAACAGATATACTCCGCAAAGATTGTAACAATATATATAATATCACCAACTATGTTATGTAGACAGACATACAAGCATACTGTTTGAGCGCCACCTGTAGGTAAGAAAGATAAGCTTCCGGTATAAAAGGTTCTGGCACAGGGGTGCACGTGCATGCTCGGAAGTTTTTCACAAGAGCGAAGCACCATAGCATGGATGTTCCGTGGAGTCGACGCAAAACGACTGCTAAAACACGATTTATAGGAAGCACATGCATGCGTGTGCAGGCACGCAGGCACGCACACAGGCATGCACACACCCACGCATGCACACATGAATGCAGGCATATGTATACTATTATCAACACTGCTATATGTGCCTTCACATCCAATCGCACTTCGTGTAAAATTCTTGTAATATATGCATGACAGGATCATGATGCAGGAACGATTGGAGGAGCAATGACATTTCCAGAGGTAGTGGCTAAGACAAATGTACAGATGATCCCAGTCATCGATGCTGGCAACGTGATCTTTACTAATCCGGGTATGAAACATTGATAATTGCTAAAGGAAAATTACAGGTTAGGAATTCGATTAAAATATTGGGCACTCTGTAGCAAACATTCATACTCTTTTAAACTCAAGTCTGATCATGTAATTTTCAATGCCATATGTCACATGGCATAATTTCATATCACATGTTATTGCATACCGTAAATAATATACGAGTCTTTACATCTCATAAAAGCACACGTTTTAGAAAGGCTACATATAGTATCAGGAGCTAATAATGACAAATTTGTCATTATTAGCTCCTGATATAGTATTAACCAAACATCAGACCTGTATTATTTATTAATACCTATCATTTGAACCAACAACTAATGTAGATGGGGGTAACCTGGACCCAATACATGGGCTGCCACTTGGGAATGTGGAGATGCCGACGTCGTCAAATTTCTCTGGGAGCGACCTGCCCAACACTCCGGACACTTGCCTGTTGTTGAATCGTGTCTACCAGGAGATTGTTTTCGATACCATCCACGACGTGGAAGCACTGCTAGCTGCTAACAGAGAGCATCAGGTAGTATAAACTACTGTATACACCATATTTTGCGCGTGCAGATATTTTCACGAATTCAGACTTGACAGACGCGTTCGCGAAATTCGCAAAAATTAAACCACCGCAAAATACACAGCTTATACAGTAGTATGCCTTGACGTTTCACCACCTGAGTGACTAAACAAAAAATAGTGCTAAGTTTGGATAATTATTGTAATATGATTGCTGGTCCTGCAGTTGAAATTAATTTTATATATATATCGAATGGCTAAGAAAGTGTATTTTCTATGACCTCATTTGTGCGTAAATATTTTAATACGTCTTTCTATTTCATCTAATTTTTGTAGTTGGAATTCCATGTTCTAATTTAGTTGTAAGCACAGTATAATTGCTGTTTGATTTGTTTCATTCTGTTTCGCAAGTAGCAGTTAGCATTTTGCTGCGTGTAGACTATAATACTAAAGAAATGGATTGTACTTGTTTTGTTCTACAGAAGAACTGCCAAACCGAATTGGACAATAACTCCAAGTTGTCTGGAAAGAGAGCAGCGCCACTCACACAGTTCTGCAAGCCGTATTTCCGTGATTACTTTGGCATGGTAAATAAAGGGGGGCTTATGTCGGGCTTGCGAGCCGACTCGACTGGAAGCAACTGGCTGCAATTCACTACAACTGCAGTGCTTAGGTCGGTCAACTGCGATGCGACTGCCTGCGACTGGCCACCACTAGTTGTTCGGAATAGAACAGTGGGCAACTGGACGCAACTAGTCGCTGCCGATCGCTTCCAGTTGCTCGAAATCCAGTTGCTTCCAGTCGAGTCGGCTTGCAAGCCCGACATAAGCCCACCTTAAGGTGCCCATTTTTAGCTCGTCGGACGCATCTGTAGTAGCCATTAAGGCATGCGTTTCTGTCTTATCATCATTTTCTGTGTATCAACGATAGCATGGGGACTGCTTAATTATACGTATTTTCTTGGATTTCATGACAAGTGGTCCACGGAAAGACAAAGTTGGCAATAGTGGGAGGTGTGGAACAAATGTCACTTCTAACATGAATTGCATCTCGATAAAAATGTATCTAAGTTCTCAATGTCCGTAATCGCTTTACAATCGGTGATAGACTTCTCAAATTAAAATCCATTACTGCATACCTCGTGCTTTTCTTTCTCAGTGTCCGCCATGTAATGAAGAAACATCGTTGAGAAATGCGAATAAGGTGCCAGATGCTTTGCCAAGGAGACCTCGACAGTGTGAGTACTAAAGCAGTCGACATTTAACGTGTCTGCATTATGTGTGCATGCCAGGAAGCTTGCACGTATTTGTATGTCTGTGATGAAACTTTAACTTGCCCCGTTATCTGAGACGAGTTAAAAATATTTTTGGGATTCGGAATATCATTGAACAGTTGCACACAGGATGTGTGAGTTTGTGTGACCAATTTTGGTAGCTGAGAGAACGGTTTTAGTGTAATTATCACCCCCTGCACGCACCCAGCTGTTAGGGTGCACCACATTGTGGCATCTGGTTATCAACCTGGAGCCCGTTGTCAGAAACAAAATTAGTCTTAACATTAGTCTTAACACTAACATTTTCTCGTAGACCGTCGACAGCAGTTTGTTTCGTATTGTTACGAGGAAATCTGCTACGATTTTTCATTCAGGTAACTTCGCAGCGTTTCTGACGACGGTCTAAGAGAAAAAGTTAATGTTAAGACTAATGTTAAGACTAATTTTGTTTCTGACAACGGGCCCCTGGCCTCTAAAGTTGTAGCTAAGAAACGAGAAGTTGGCTACTATACTCTTTTTTGGTGAATTTTCATCGCTGTGTATTCATGTGTACATGTGTTAAACAAGATTCCGTATGCAGGGAGCTTCTCAGAAATCAATATGTTGAAGTCAGCAGTGCGATCCAACGTACTCAAACAACAGATGGAAAAGCATTTAGCCAAGTATGTGGAAAACATGGAAGAGTTACTTATTTAAATTACCATGAGTTTTGTAATGCATGGTTTCACTCAGTAAATTATCGCCATTGTATCATAAACTAAGATAGTTATATTTTTTGATTTAAGCACATTTCCTATTGGTGTAGTGTATAATTATACGTATATATATATATATATATATATATATAAATATAGTGATTTCAATGAGCCATATTAATTATCAAGTGATCATGCATATGAGAGATACTAATTGTATAATTTCTCATTCAGCCAATATAAGTGGTTCTTGCTGTAATTGTTTATATTTATTAATTTGTTATGAATCCAAGCTATTGCTGCTCGACTGTACATGTCCTATATATTATGTATATATATATATATATGTATATATATATATATGTATATATATATATATATATATATATATGTATATGTATTAATATAATTATGCCATTTTATAGGAAAGAATGCTGGGCACCAAACTACAAAAACCAACCGTGTAGCTATTCGGAGTCAAATGAAATGCAAGCTTAAAATAGAAGCGATAGACAGCAGGCATAGTGAGTTGCGGTGAGCTGGGCATCCATGTTTCAAAGTCATTATAATTAGCATATTTGGAAGCCAGGGGGCTGTTGTCAGAAACATCGTAAAGTTAATGCTAATGTTAATGCTAAGATAAACATTACGACTAATGTTAATGTTACGAGAGGAGCGTTGACAGAAACACATCGCAACTATTAGAAAACTTACAATAACAGGAACTTCATCACAAGGCTGCTGAATTCGATGAGAATCGATCCACAAAATTCAATTCATACACGTTTATTGTACATCACAGTTAATCTTATTCATATATGACTGGCTAACCACATATAAATAATATTTGATGAAAAATGACGTGGTCATGAATTTATTCTGCACAACAAGACAAATTCTCACACTGTAACACGAGACGCGAGAGTCGTGGCAAGTGGCAAGGTATTTAAAACAAGAGAACAAAAGCCATATGCCATTTGTAAATGTTTTGCTTTGTTTTATGATCGGTAGATAATTAATGATTTTGACGTGTTTTTTAAGAAAAACACATTTTACTCATTATTATAAAATATAATATCACTATAATTGTAATTCGTAGTGTAAATGTGTTATTTTCATCTTAATATTAAAGTTACGAGAGGGTCTGGGCTCTCGTAATGATAAGAGGATATTTTCGAGGATTTTTCATTCTCGTAACTTTGCGATGTTTCTGTCAACGGTTTACGAGTGGAAGTTAATGTTAAGACAAATTTTGTTTCTGACAACGGCCCCCTGGTATCTGCAAAAACTCGCTATTAAATTCCGCGTCCAAAGTTTTTTCTGAGGTGTGCTATTTATTGATATTTCTGTCACAGGGACACTTCTGATAAGGACTTGTATGAAACGTACAAGGATATTAAAATTGACTGGCTTCGAATATCAGTTACTGATGTAAGTATAATGGCATTTTGTTGGCTGAGTTACTATTATATTTGATATATATATATATATATATATATATTATATTTTTAGAACTAGATTGGAAGTGGCTCCAAAGTGCTGCTAATATGCCCAAACATTCTTGCAATTTTGTTCATTTTTTATGAAAACTTGATAGCGCTTGATTGTTAAATTACATATGTTGATTATAAGCAATTTTAAAAATATAAATAACTAAATCACATAATACGTAATTAGTTAACAACCTAGTACTATTATGCATAGTAAATATCAACAAACTTCAGACATATTGAACATATTTTATGTTCTCCATCTGTTTTGATAGCATAATTTAAGGATTTTTTTTCATTGTATCGGTGCGCCATCTATCTAACAGTTTGAGAACAGTCGCTCGGCAATCGAGTGTCAGTTGAAGTGGGAAAACGAGGCGAGTCCCTTGATATCCCAGGTGCGCTGGGTCAAGCAAGAGGATGAGAAGGTGAGATGGTAGATGGCATCTATAATAAACCACTTAATTTAGCATCAGATGCTATATCTGGCTCACGGTAAAGATCTTCATGAATAACCCGAGTTGGTCTTTCAACTGGATGGTATGAACTCAAGTCGGAGATTTCAGTGTGCGTATTTTTGTCTCTTGGCACTACAATAAATGCAGTTTCTGTACTGACTTTCCATGTTGCTTGGTTGATAACAATGCTCCTGTTAGCGATCGTATTTCTTTAGTAATCGCTGCCATGAGGGTTAATAGTCACTTTAACTATCTGACTATGTATGTTCGGATGTGCAAGTTTTGTGAATCGCTGAAAAAGTTAATGCTGACATGGCCTAGTCATTATTGGAAAGTAACAAATAGTGGTTACACACATCTAGGCATCTCTAGTTCAATGTAATTTACTGGTAATCTCCTAATAGTGTGACGTTATGTGACTGTAGTGGGAATAATTTGAGTTGTTCGCATGAGGTGAGTACAAGGTGTCAGCCCTCTCATTCTCACCCGATTCATTTACAGGTAAAATCTTTGGTGGAGATTAAGAAAGAGAAGAACTGGAGGAAGATAGCCAAAGAGGTTGGCAGTTGCAGAACAGCATTCCAATGCTTTCAGCGGTACCAGACACGATTAAACGATTCCCTCACCAAAAAGTACGTCTCTGTCTTCCCCCACGCGATTTTTTCTCCATCCTTGGACAATCGAGCAGCATAGAATTGTGCAGAACGTAGCATATGTTATAAAGCATGTAATTCATGTGATGTTTTGTAATGTTTAAGAAACTGGACCGCCGAGGAGGATAAGCAGTTGACTAAGGTTGTTAACCAGTGCAGAGTTGGGGACTACATCCCATGGAACTATGGTAAGACGGCTAGATTGCTGAATTATCGTTTATTTCACATATACGTTTTTCTGGCGACAATATAACTATCGGTATGTTAATTTATGTGTAATGGTTAAAGCAGGGTTTCTTATACATAGGAGGCACAGTGGCGCACCGCCGTTGTCAAATTTAACATTGCCGCTGTGAAAATGTTCTGTATTTACTGATAATTGTATATCCTGTATCTATATACCTATAAGTATATCAATACATCCTGTATTTGAATCCATCATGCACGTTTTTTCCCAAACTGGCCATTACCTCCTTTGTCTAATTTTCCCTCAGAAGAAACCCTGTAAAGTAAATTAATCAAAACAATTATAACTTGTATGTTGTTAAAAGGTAATAATGACATGGTTGATAAGGTGATAAGGTGTATTAAAAACCATACATGTGATAGCTATCAACATTAGGTAAAAAAACTTACTGAACATAAAAATCACATCAGAACCTGATCTTATTGGAAATTGTTATAAAAAAGTGCAAATTATTTCATAAACAAATTGCAAATGCTTATATTTACTGCTTATTGTGATGGCAGATGCGCTATTGTTTGTCCATGCATGCAGGTGTTGTGAAGGGTATGTGTATATTTACTTAATTTCAGTGCTAGAATTTATGGACGGTAGAACTAGGAATCAATTATGGCATCGCTGGCACAAAGCGATCAACCCCACTATGCGCAGAGGCAAGTGGAAAGAGTCTGAGGATCTGGTAAGTCTTTTAATTCCTTTCTTTCGTTATTAAATGATGGTTTAAAAAAAATAGTCTTGCAGAATGTATTTTCATCACTACATATTCCAACGTAACTGAAGAGTGCAGATTGCATCAGTACGGACATAATGTATTATTACACATGATTCATTAGCCAGTAACCTGTAATGAGAAATTTCTCTGGTGCTGTTGGAAATGTTCAAAATCAGGAAGGGTATCGCAGGGGTAGAAATTAACTTTTGAACACGGGAGTCCAACGGACTCCCTAACTTCAAAAAGAGGGAATCCGCAGCAAAATGAGGGAGTCCGCAGTCT